ATATGAGTACTCATAACTACAGCCATCATATTTGACAAAGAGGCAAAGACCATACACTTAAGAAAGATCATTTCTTCAGGGGCTCAGGGAACTGAATGTCCACATAGTAAAGAATGAAATTAGACCCACATCTATGGTCTTATACAAAAATTAGATCCAAGTGGAGCACAGACCTCAACTTCATGAAGCACTCAAACTCAATGTATAGCAACAATCAACTGAGTGAAGAAGAATCCAATAGAACGGGAGAGAATCTTTTCCCAGTTATAGATCTGGCAGAGGATTAACATCCAGAAAAGAAAAATAAATCCTGGGGTCTCCTTGTTGATATCTACCTGTGGACCACATGGAAGCAAAGACTCTTGGAATTGCAACACCCAGGGAACCTGTCTTATCTGTCAGTGCAAGGAAAATTAAGGACAATGCAGCTAATTGGCATAACTTAATCCTGAAGTGGGAAAACCTCAATGACGCTCGTTTTACTACTGCGAGCAATATTGCCAACTTGAAAGTCAGCTTATTGAGCAAAGAGAAGGTTGAATTAGAGAGCAGCAGCCCAGCTTCCAGTAAAAAGGGAGAGAAGAAGAATCTGGAATATGACAAGGAATTTGAAGCACTATGTGAGGAGCTGCAGGTCACCTTGGATGGCTTGACTAAAATACAAAGGAAAATGGGAAAGCTGTCTTCAACCACCAAGGGAATTTGTGAACTAGAAAATTACCATTACAGGGAAAAAAGTAACCGGCCCCTTGTGTTTCACACATGGCCCACAGCCTTCTTTTATGAGGTCTCCCACTGGCTCTCCAGTGCATAAAAGAAGGACCTCCAAGCACACTATTGGTGCTGAGCTGGCCCACACTGCTGACTGCAACCTCATCCTGACCTACCTGTCCATGTGGCTCCACTAGCTGTACATAGAGTGACAGCAAGCTGCAGCTAGAAAGCATGCTCCTGGAAACAGGGCACTGACTGGTACCTGTAACTTGCCTGTCAGCTTACCTGTGACCACAGCCTCAGGGTTCCAGACCACTGACTGGACAGTCACTTGGGTGGGAACTGTTGGGCCCGAGGGCCAGCCACTGCAGCCTCTCCAGACACAAAAGCACTTATGCAGCTGTCGTCCCCTTCTGCCCTGTCCCAGATTATCATGTGACCACCACGGGGTGAAATAAATAAGAAGAGTGGCTGAGGGCCTCATTTTGTAAACTGAGTATACTTACATATTACACCTCTTATAGAAAAAAAATCCCTCAAGACACAGAGTCAAGGAAATAAATGTTCTAATTAGAAATAGGCTAGATATCAAAACAGAGTTCTCAGTTTAAGAAATAAAAAGGACTAAGAAATAGATCAAAGTGTTCATCATAATTAGCAATCAGGGAACTGCAAATTAAAGCAACTCTGAGATTTCCTCTCACCCTAGTAGAATGACTAAGATCAACAAAACAATTGACAACATCCTGCAGAGCTTGTCCAGGAAGAGGAAATGCTCACTGTTGGTGGGAATGCAAATTGCTACAGGCACTCATGAAATCTATGAAGAATCCTCCAAAGATAAGCAAACAAAAAAATAATCTACCATAAAACCCTGCTATACCAGTCCCTGGCATATGCCCAAAGGAGTGGAGTGGACAGCTTACTCCACAGACACTTGCTCAGCCATATTCATTGCTGCATTATTCACAATAGCCAGGGAATGGAAACAACTTAAAAGTCTGCCAACAGATGAATGAATAATAAAAATGCTGTGCATATACACAGCATACTACTCACCACAACACACTACTACTCTTTACTCTGCAAAGAAATATAAAATCATGGCATTTGCAGGTAAATGGATGGACCTAGAGACCAGAAAGCCTCATGTTATCTTTCGTCTGCAGTTTCTTGCTCCATATCTGATGTGGGAGTGTCATATATCAATCTGTTGCTTTCATTGGTTAATTAATAAAGAAACTGCTTGGCCTGATAGGTTAGAACATAGGTGGGTGGAGTAAACAGAACAGAATGCTGGGAGGAAGAGAAAATGAGGCAGACACCATGCCTCTCCTCTCCAGGGCAGTCGCAATGGAGCAAGCCACCAGGTCAGACATGCTGAATCTTTCTTGGTAAGACTGGTGCTACACAGATTACTAAATATGGGTTAACCAAGATACGAGAGTTAGCCAAGAAGAGGATAGATATAATGGGCTAGGCAGTGTTTAAATTAATACAGTTTGTGTGTTATTTTGGGGCATAAGCTAGCCAGGCGGCCAGGAGCCAGGTGGCAGGAACGCAGCCCGAAGCTCCTACTACACATATCCTCAGATGTGAGTACACAACATGGAGTAACCATAGAAACCAGGTATGTATAAAGGTACCATAGAGGGGTGTAGGGAGGGGAATAGCAGGATACAGATGACATGAAGTGGTAAGAAACAGAACAACAGTGAGGGCCTCCAACTGGGGAGATGGTGGGGAGGTCAATAAAGAAAAAGGAGGAACAAGAGACAAATAACACCAAGGTTGTTTGATAAAGTGTCAACGAGTCACTATTTTAGATTTACATAAAATTATACACTCTGCATATAAGTATATGTATGCATATATATACACATACATGCATATTAAAGGAAGTTAAGGCACTTAAGCTGGCAATGCTCTTTAGAAGAACCATAAGTGAACAAAAACGCTGGTATCAAACATGAGACTCCTCCCTTGAATAAATTGGTAAGATAGTCCATGTGACTCCCTTTTGCCTCTCGGGAGTTTAGAGTGAGCCCCTTTTACTGAAGAAATCACACACATAGGACACAGGACTTGGATGATTCAAACTGGATCTGACCTGAAAGCCTCTTCCCTGCTGTCTATAAGTTCAATGGTTCCAGAAAATGCTATGCAAGATGCCAAAAGGGAAGCAATTAGAAATTCCTACTCTGGCCAGGAAGTGGCGACGCAGGCCTTTAATCTTAGCACTCGTGAGGCAGAGGCAGGCAAATCTCTGTGAGTTTGAGGCCAGTCTAGTCTACAAGAGCTAGTGTCAGGACAGGCTCCAAAGCTACAGCGAAACCCTGTCTTGAAAAATAAGAAAGAAAGAAAGAAAGAAAGAAAGAAAGAAAGGAAGGAAGGAAGGAAGGAAGGAAGGAAGGAAGGAAGGAAGGAAGGAAGGAAGGAAGAAAGAAAGGGGAAAGGGAAAGGGAAAGGGAAGGAAAGGAAAGGAAAGGAAAGGAAAGGAAAGGAAAGGAAAGGAAAGGAAAACAAAACAAAAGAAAGTCCTACCCTGATACAACACCTATGAACTATGACAATCACCAGCATGGCAACATTGTGGGATAACCATGTTGATATTTGGGGGCTGGCGATCCAAAGATAGTTCAACAAGAACGCATTGCTACACGGCAAGCTATGCATAAAGGTATAAGAAGTAGCACTATATGTAGGTGGCAATCGGCTGTCTAATTGGACTTAAGGTCCATTCAATAGGAAGAAAATCATGCCCGGTACCGCAAATCTGGCCAGCTTCCTGGGATTTGTGAGATCACGGACTTGAGAAAAGAATCTATTACCACCACTCTAGTAGACTAGCATAATTCCTTACTACATTCCAATCCATATATCCACAGACCCATATAGCTACCACTCATCAATGAAGCCTCTCTTTACTGCAATTGGAGACATCCCAGAAAAGAATTGGACACAATGCACTAATCAGTGGATTAGTAGGGAACCCAGCCCCAACAGAAGCATCTACATCACAACTCCTGCATCTATGGCTCAGGGGATATTGAGTTAGAGATGGGTGGAAAGACTAGAAGAACCATAGTTCCTGTCTTGAAATAATGGCTTTGCAGCATTGTTTGTAATAGCCAGAACCTGGAAACAACCTAGATGCCCTTCAAATGAAGAATGGATGAAGAAAGTATGGAATATATACATATTAGAGTACTACTCAGCAGTAAAAAACAAGGACTTCTTGAAGTTTGCAGGCAAATGGATGGAAATAGAAAACATTATCCTGAGTGAGGTAAGCCAGACCCAAAAAGAGGAACATGGGATGTATTCACTCATATTTGGTTTCTAGCCATAAATAAAGGACATTGAGCCTATAATT